TTAGATGATAAAATGCAGCTTCCAATGTTTACAGTAAATAAGATTTAATATAGAAAGAAATTAAAAAAATAGCATCTATATTTTATTTTCAAGTTCTTTTTAGAAATAGTTTAGGGCAAATATTAAAAAATTTTAGTAACATTTGGGGGAGACTAGTGAGTAGCTAGAATACTTTTTGAAAAAATGAGGAGGGCAGAGTTGAACGGCAATGTTAAAAAACTAAATTTTTATAAGTTATTTTATTAATGTTCAAAGAAATGGAGAGCATGCAATTATAGCTGTAGAGTAAAAGCAGCCCCATCTTTTCTACTCGTGACAAAATACTTCAAAACCGTGGCAAGACATATTTTCAAGCTGTATATGTATAACGGAAAGAGATTGGATTACTCCCACCCTAAAAACAGATGCATTTTCTATTAAATTATAGAGAATGGAAACTATGTATGTAATTGAAAAAAAAAAATTATGTTGACAAAAATATAAGCTCTTTCAAAATAAAAAAAAAAGACATTTCTTGAAGAGAGAATTTTTATATGTGAGGTCACTAGTCAGAATGCATCATAAATTCTAATAAAATCCTTTATGGAAAAACTAGTGATCCTTAATGTAAACAATCTATTTCGGTCTAAAAGAAGATCTTAATTTGATTGTCATTAATTTCTTTAGAGGAGAAACTGTTGTAGAGCAAGACCTGTTGGATAAAGAAGTGTAAACATTGCTCAACAAAATTGTCATCTAGTTTCTTTGAATTTTCATTCTGATCAGTTTGAACAGTTAAAATTGATCAAATTGTATGTGCAGTGAAAAGAAATGGACTACATCGAACCCTATAAAAGTGATACAATTTTTCTGTACAAATTGTAGAGAACAAAGAGTTGTGTAATAAAAATTAAAAAAAAAGGATTAACAAAAATATGATCTCCTTCATTAAAAAAAATATTTTCTTGAAGAGAGAATTTTGATATGTGAGGTCAAAGTCCATTATAAATTTTAATAAAAGGTCTATCTTTAATGCATTGACAGTGTATACACTAGCGGGTTAAAATGCATGCAACATCTACAAAATTCGATATTTAAATTCAAATTCAGATGATGTGTCATTAGCATATATACTATCAGTGTGGAAAAGACTAATTCATAAAGATAACTATTGCACAAGTTTTTAGATTTTTTTTTCCCTTTCGGCTTGATATCCAAGGCTATTTCTAGATCCAGTGCCAACGAAAATGGGCTGGCATATGAACACAAGTACGCAAAGTGTACAAGACAACTGTTTGAGGGCAAATTTTAGGCTTTTCGTTTGCCGACTGTCCCTTCTACTCTGTTTGACACGAGATAAATGGCCAAATAAAGTGCCGTTGCTTTGCACGATGGGTGAGAAAATTACAAAATCATGCCCAACGCGTGACAAATACAGAAAAAATGTGGGCAAAAAATCATGTCGCCAAGCAATGCACAAAAGTCCATTTAAAAGGACAATACCAATTTAACGCGGATTTTTGCTGAGGACTATTTGTTTGGTTATTTATTATTTGAGAAAAAAACAAAGTAAAGATAAGTACTGATAGCAGATTGTACACGAGATAGGCATTGCCGTTAGCTGTAATATGAATGCATTTGAGATTTTTGTTAAGCTGTAAAAAAAAAGAAAAAGAAATATAGTATTGGCTGCGTTCTTTGTAGAGTGTATTTTTTAGAACATCGTGGTCGCTGTTTCCTTTGTCTTCAAAATTAAATAAGATAGTAGTAAATTGCAGCCCGAGTTAAATTCATGATGTAAAGCAGAGATGGCTCGATAGTTTGTTCATTTAAAGTGAGTTTTTTGGATCGTTGTGTCTAGAAAACTTTATTATAAGTTGTTTACTGTATAAAGTTTTTAAAAAAAAATTTTTGAATGTAGGGCTTGTGTAAATTCTTTGAATATTTTGAAGTGTATAGTTTAAAAAATTTTGAAACACGTTTTTTGAAGGTTGCTATAGGGGCCAACAGTTTGTTGTAAAAAACTTTGTAATCAGAACTAAACTGGAAAAATTCGCAGTTGCGCAAATAGGGCCTCAAGATCTCCTAATTTTTTGGGATGTCAAGCTTTAAGCTCTAAAGTTAAGAGGTCTCCTCAGACTGAATGTAGCCATGATCTAGATTTATACACACGTGGGCAGTCGACCGAGCGCGGTCCCGAGCGCCCGCGACGCCACGGACCCGGAAATTCGCACTCAATTCATTGTATACCTGAAAGGCCTCATAAAAGTAATAAACATAAAAGACTCCTGCTTAAAGACTAATCAGACAATTGATAGAGATTTTTTGTAGGATTTTTTCTAATATTATTAATTTGGGAAAAAAAAGAGCAAAAAGAAACAAATAGGAAACCACAATATATGATATTTTGATTATAAAAAGGACAATAAAGCTCACATTACAAAAAAGATTGTCGGTAATTTTTTTTTTTGATTATTATTAATCGCGGCATTGAAATCATTAGGGCAATAGCATCTCAAATAGTCAAAGGAGAATGACCCCGACTAGCCGCAAAAGAAAAAGAGAAAAGGATAATGAATTGGTTTTAAAAAAACCAAAAAAAAAAAAACTCCATCCAAGAGGTTAAATCCGTTAAAATAAAAATATAGATTGCACCTGTATCTATTTTTTTTTCTAGCAGAGGATAGGTGGAACTTAAAAGGCAAATAAGGGACAAGGAGATTTATACTTAGAACCCCTAATTTTTAGAATCTCAATTTTAACTACTAAACCAAGGCCTCAGCGACTGATTGCACCTCTGTTTCATTTATTTATACATGAAAGGCCTCTAAATAAAAGTAATAATCAAGATTGCAGCAGCACTACAATCATATATCAAGCTTATTTCTTTTTCCTTAATTTGAAAAAGCGAAGGCCTTAATAAAACTTCAGGAACAAAAATTAATACAAACTTGTTGCAAAGTGGGTAAAAAAATTTGTGAATAATTTTTTCTTTAACTTATTATTAAAAATCGAAAGAAAACAACTAAGTAATACAATTATATATTTTATTATAAAAAGCTCACAAAAAATTACAATTTAGACAAATAATCATGACAAAGATGCAGTAAAATGGGTAGTTAAAAATATAGCATGAATTTTTTTTCTTAATCTATTATTAGAAAAAAAAGTAGTAATCAATACAGTAACACAATTGTATATTTTATCACACAAAAAAAGAATAAACGTGCACAAAAAATTCCGCACTAAAAAAAGGATGTCTTTTTCGATTATTATTGCATAAGCAAAAATAACAAAAAAAAAGAATAAAATCCCACAAAAAATAGAAAAGGATATCAATTGTATATAAAAAAAATGAAAAAGGTATAAAAGAAAAGGAAAAATAACAACTCCATCTAGCAAGGGGAAAAACAGGATCCTATCTGTATAACAATCTAATTTGTAAGATACACGCGAATATCATAATTCATACAAAAAAAAAAAGAGAAAACATTTCAAAAGCAATGTAGCACCACAATTATATCATCATTTATGATTTACATTTACATAAAAAAGGTAAGAACTATTATTACTACCTATGAAAGGTAAATAACAGTAATAAACATAATATACTAATAGTAACAATCTGGTAAGCAACTTAACAGCAACAAAGTTTTTGGAAAAAAAAAAAAGGAAAAAGAAGGAAGCATTCCATCCAAAAAGGAAAAGTACATAATAAAGAATTTTCGCAGGCGCAATTTCTTTGGCAAACTATTTTTCAAGAAAAAGGAGAAAACTACATAATAGCACAATTGCATATTCTATTATAATAACAAAATATTATAAAAAACAATAACCTTGAGAAAAAATATTGTCGGTAAAAAAAAAATCAACATGAGATTTAAAGTTAGGATACTTAATTTCTGCACCCTTATCTTTAGTTACTAAACTAGGACGTCGTCAGCTGATTACATCTATATTTAACTCATAACACACGCGAATTCCATTATTCAATCATACCTAAAAGGTCCTTTATTAAATTCCATGATTCATCAAAGACCTCTCAAAAGTACCACAATTCATAAAGAATTTTCGCAAGAGTAATTTTTTTTGACAACTTATTATTCAGGAAAAAGGAGAAAATAACATAATGGTACAACTGAATATTCTAATAATAATAATAATAATACATTAATAATATGGCAAGCAATTTAATAGCAAGAGAATTTGGGGGAAAAAGGGGAAAAAAGAAACCGGGGAAAAAAGGAGAACAAAACCAATATAAGAAATGTAGCAGCACCACAAAAATATATATTCTAATACAAATAATACAGTACTAATAATAACAGTAATACACATAATACAAAAATAATAACATGGCAAGCAATAAAATAGCAACAGAGTTTGGGGGAACAAAGGGCAAAAAGAAGAGGAGGGAAAAAATCCAGCACCACAACAAATATAATATCACAAGAAGAAAAATAAAAAGAAGAAAACAAAAAGAACCATTCCATCCAAAAAAAGCAACTTCCAATCCACAATGCACGTGACTTGAGCATGCAGGAGGAGGATGACCACCAACTAATTTAAGGGATTTGGACATCATCTTTTTAAGTTGAATTAATCCTACCAGATATGCATTGTAGGAGACGGAAAGGAGCCCAAGTCTCTAATTTAATATACAATATTTCCCAAGGTAAAAAGTAACAATCACAAGTTCCAGCCAGCCCCCCCCCCTTCTTGTCCTCTTGCTTAATATTTGTTGGCAAAAAAAAAAAAAAAAGATGTTTTAATATATTAATTAATTGAGTGTATGGTTCTTTGTCGAGGAAAAAGAGAAGCAATTAAAAAGTCTGTACTACTCTGACCGAAATACAAAGAAGCAAAAGTGTATCTTGCATATAGACTTGTGCTTAGCTGACTATAAGCATCATATCAATCTGTAGCAGAACTAAAAAAAAGAATTGAGATTTTATGGCCAGCTGCATCTAGTCAACAACAAAAATGTGGACGCTCCAGAAATTGCTTTCAAGAAACTTGAATTAGACTCCTTGTGAGGAGATTGACTCTTTTTTTTGTTTTTTTTTTGGTGGAAAGGAGATTGACTCTGTTTCTGAGGAACTGGACTCTGATTCTTCTTCTTCTTCGCTGGACTCTGATTCTTCTTCTGAGGAGATTGGCTCTGTTTCTGAGGAACCGCACTCTGATTCTTCTTCTTCTTCGCTGGAACTCCGCGCATCAACACAACCTTCAATTAAGATCTTTAGAGCCTCATTTCCCATATCTCTCTGTTCTTGTTGAATTTGCTTCACTGAATTTGCAAGAGACTCGCTACATCGTTTCACCTCAATCATTTCAAGAGTCGGACATTCCCCTAAGCAAGAAGGCACCTCTTCCAACTCTGTACACCAGTGGACAACCAATTTCTCAAGCCGGGGAAAATTATCAGAAGATGCAGTCCATCTGCGAAAGTCCAACCATTCTCTCAATATCAAGACGCGGAGGCTAGGGAACTCCCCTTCTTTCATTTCCCATTCTAAGAAGGAGCAACCGACTAATTTAAGCACTTCAAGTTTGGGCAACTTTCCAATTGTTGGGATTTCACTCCATGGCTGCTTATTGTAAACGAAAGTCAACTTCTTCAAATTCAAAGGGAATTTAATTCCATATATGTCAAAGTAAAGCAGAGTAAGTGACTCTAGTTGACTCAAACAGTCAAACCAGAGAAACCCGTTGCCAATTCTGGTAGCTTCTTCTCTTGATTCCGTCATCTTACATCTTAGCCTGCGGATGTTTGGTAACTTTGTCAGTATCTTTTGCAAGCTTTGAGAGGAGGGATCAATGGCAAGGCTTAAAGTGTCTAAATGATCTAAACCTGGGTATACTTCAAGATTTTCAACAGGAAAAATAAAACCAGCATAGGAATCTGCAATCCATAGATGCCTCAATGTCTTAATGTTCCAGATAGTCTTGGGTAACAAACAATCTTCGCCGTTTCCTCGTAGCAGAAAAGTTTGTAACCTTGAGAGGTTAGCTATTGCAGCTGGGATGAAAGTTACTCCGAGAGTACGAAGGGCCAAGTATCTCAAGTGAGCAAGCAAAAATACTCCCATAGGAAAATATCCATGAAACACCAATTCCCCCAAATCCAACACTCTAAGAAGTTCAGGTAACCAAAACCCCAAATCATCCTCCTTAAACGATAACAACCTGCGTGCAATGGGTAATTCTAGCATTGACTCCCGAATCATCAAATTCCTGGCATTTCGATAGCAAATTCGGAGGGGGTTGCTTGTGCCAGTAAGAATAACATGTAGAAAGTTTTCTTCTTTGGCTATTTTCACACAAAACTCATGTACCAAATCATGAAGTCGGCAGGCTTTGGCACCACCCATGGTTCTTTGTTCAGAAACCATGACTAAACTTCTATCAACCAGATCCCTCAAATAGTCATTTGCCGCATCCTCTAAACTCTTTTCTTCAGTCTTTCGCACGAAGCCTTCAGAGATCCAGAGCCATAACAACCTTCGGACAGGAACATTTTCATCTTCTTTATATGCACCAAAGTAAAGAAGACATGGCTTCAAATCATCCGATAAATGACTGTAACTCAGCTCAAGCGTCATCATGCAGTATTCATCATCAAGGACAATACTGGAAGTTAGACTCTTTGCAACTTCTTCCCAGCAGTCTTCTGCAGTATTAGCAAGAATTCCAGCAGCGAGGACAACTGTGAGAGGTAAGCCCCTACATAATTTTGCTATTTGAAATCCAACTTTACCTAGTGTCGGAGGAAAACCTTCTTTTCCAAATACCTTTTTCTGCAGCAATTTACAACTCTCTTCGTCAGTAAGGTGGCGGAGATGGTGAGCCATGCTATCTGGTTTGAATTGCAATCGAATTCTGCTGGTGAAGAGAATCCTACTTCCATTGGCATCATCGGGTAATGCTCTCTCCAGCAAATTCCATGCCTTGATCTCCCACACATCATCCAAAAAAATGAGATACCTATTTCTCTTTAAAAGCTTGAACAGTTTGGGAGCCAAATCACTTTCATCCATCTCAAGATATTCATCAGGACTTCTAGAAGAAATACTGCATAAAAGCTGAACTAACAAACTGTGCATGCTATACACTTGAGAAACAGTACACCAAGCACGAATATAAAAGTGACTCAAAATTAATGGATCATTGTAAACTCTATTGGCCAATGTCGTCTTGCCAAGTCCAGCCATACCCACAATTGAAACAAAATCCAACAGCTTTGAACCCCTGATAAGACTATGAATAATTGCCTTTACCTCATCATCAAGACCCACCAGAACTTCATTCAACATTGGGGTGCGACATTTTGATTCAATGCGGAAAGATTTCTGGGTAGTTCTCTGAGCTCCACAGTCATGCATCGTGCTATCATAGGTTTCAAGGGCCTCAGTCCTCAAAAGCTGGATATCTCTAGCAACTCTTTCCAAATATTCATGTTTATCACCAACCACGATAGAGTCAATGACAAACTCTGCCCTGTGCGCAACCTCCATAACACGACTCCAAAGAGCTTGGAGTTTTCCATTCCGGTTGCGCTGGTCTGCTATCTTGACAAGGAAAGATCTTAAGAATATGAGATCTTCTAGGACTGTGTGGATTTGATCTTTCGGGAATGCAATTGAATCATCAGTCTCACTACAATTTTCTAGTTCCTTCAGATTTTCAAGGAGAAAATCCATAGAGCCCAACTCATTGGTCCTAGGAAAACCAAATGGCGAGAATAGTAATG